CTCCGATTAATTGTCTATGCTCTATTTTCTGTGAGGCATCCTCTTTGGTACTACTTCCAAATCTTTGCAATGAGCCAGTAGCTCATTTCTGGGCATGTCTTTTAAACCAAAAATATTATACAAAAAGCTGAAATAATTACTGTGAGTATTTAGCGAATTATATCTGGTTTCCAAGGCATTTATTGCTTAATCTATAGTGTGAAAAAAATAATCTATTTTATATTTTTGTTTGAGGTCTTGAACGGGTTCATCCGGGCCCTCATACAAAAACGTTCTTGTTTTGCTTCTGACACGATGACGTCTTATGGTGGCATCGAAATTATCTTCCACGTCAATCTCTGAAGCAAGCTCGGTTGCTTTTAAAATGATGCTTTCAAAAGCTTCATCTGATCTCAGGTTTTCAAAGAAGAGTTTGCAGTTGCTAAGCATATCAATAGCTTGTGACATATTAAAATTTAGAGTTTGCAAAAGTTTGCTGATGGGGTTAATATGACTCAAAATTTTGTACCAGATCACAACAGAGCATATAAATTTGAAACGCTTCAAATTATTTAATAATCCGTTAACCTCGTCTCTGATTATATTATCGATTTTTGAATCTTCATATATGCTGTACAAAACATCGTGAATTGAACCAATTTGAAACTGCAGAGCTTTTAATGAGTCGACTCGACTTTCCCATCTCGTATCACTCAATGGTTTTAGGGTGTAAGTACCAATATATTTCAGTAATATTGCCCAACGAAGAGAAGAGGAAGAACAAAATGTATATAACTTTTGAACAATATTGAAGAAGTTGGCTGCCTCAAACGAGGATTTTGCCATATCTTTTACAACCAAATTTAGCGAATGGCTGCTGCATGGAACATAAATGCTCTGGGGTTTATATTTCTGATTCTTGTTTGTACTCCCGATTTTTCTCCTCTCATATTGGAACCATTGTCATACCCTTGACCACGCATGTTTTCAACTTTGGGCCTATTTTTCTCTAGTTTCTCTAGTAAAACCTTAGTAGTAATTCCTTAGTTGTTGATCTCTCAATGGGTAGAAAACCCAAAAAATGTTCGTTGATATTACCTTGAACTTCAGACTCTGATTCCTGTATGGAGACAAATCTTACCACTAATGTCATCTATTCTATTTTACTTGCATCGGAAGAACAGTCAAGAATCACGGAATAATACTTAGCCTTTTGAACTTGCTCAATGATGTGGTGCTTTATGTTGTCATGCAATAATTCAATTATTTCATTTTGTATAGTTTTTCCTAGATATGTAGCTTTGATTTCTTCTTTAATGAGGACTCTGCGAACATGTTTCTCCATTTTTGGATCAAACTCAGCCAATAACTGAATTAACTTAAAAAAGTTTCCATTATTGTGTTCATACAGTTTATCGCTTCAGACCAGTGATTTATCTCAGAATCAATGAGTTTCTGAGAAACTGCATCTATTGTTTTACTTATTTTCAATCTTTGCTTCAATTCAAGCCATGATTTCAAACAATCTATATGAGTTTTAGAATTTTCATGATGTGCTAAAGAGTCCCCTAAATGTTTCCATTTTTTAAACAGTACAGTACAAAGCGTTTTGAAATACGGAATATACCATCCATTCTCTTAAAACCTCTTCTCCATTTCTAAGCCTTTTCTTGTAATGTTTTGGTGAGAATCTTCTATGCTGATCATCAAAAGGAAAATCAAAATTATACAAAGGTGCAGCTGGACCACCAAAAAACTCTATCTGCTACACGCATGATTTCGGGCCATAATCCTGGGCCAGAAGAGATACTTTGGACGGTAGCCTTTTCTAAATGTTTCTCTGAGATCTGCACAACTTGCGAATTTTGATTTTTGGAACTGCACGGAACTGCACCACTACTCGCCAAACTCGTTTGAGATGACTTACCCAGTTCAGTAATGCTGACAGTTGCGTCCAAAGGGGGGTCCATATCCGGAAAGTCAGTATCTAGATGCTGGGCGTTGTTCAAATGTTGGTCGGTTGTGGGAGCGTTGAAACTACCTTCTTTCAAGAAGTTCTGCAGCGCATCTGGTCTGTTTTTGAAGCTGTGTTTGCTTGTTCAATCTCCGCTTTTTAAATTCTCTCCCAGAGGGTTTTCTCTTAGCATCGGACACTTTGGTTTCTGGAACAAATTAATTAAAATAAAAGATAATACTGATATTAAAAAAGCCATGATTTGATTTAAATTATAATTTCTGAAATCCCCCCTTGTGCGCCACTGGCTTAAAAAAATGTATTTTATTCAACTTCAGACTCAATTATCTTTCACTCGATACCACACAAGCCATGATTTGATTTAAACTCTAATTTTCTAAATCCCCCCCCTTATGCGTCACTGCCTTAAAAAAAATGTATTTCATTCAACTCCAGGCTCAATTACCTTCATTTGATACCACATAAGCCATGTTTTGATTTAAACTGTAATTTTTGAAATCTACCCCCCACCCTTTTTTGGGCTTATGTCTGATGGATTTTTTTAGTTTTTAAAAATGAAAACAAAAATGAAAACACTTACCTTTACAGAAGCCAAACGCACTGGACAATTTGCACAAGCATTTTTTTAAAGCTTTTTTGCACTAACAATTTAAACAAACTATTTTTTTTACTACTAACATGAGAAATCACCATTATTTACTCCATTCCTCTAATGAGAAGTAATATTTCTCTCCCTAGGTAAATAATGATAATAAAAAAAAACCTAGGTAAATAATGAAACTAAATTTCATTAGTTTCATTTTGTTAATTTGACAACTAAACTCCCAGACTACTTGATATTTTGAAATATTTGAAAAATAAGTAGGAAATAACTAAAGCTGGGTTTATCAAATCTAATCAAATCAAATATGATAATATATATCAGTGTAAACAGTAAAAATATATATTAACTAGGAAATTCAACACCGGCTTTAAAAATTATTAATTAATAACAATAAATCCATGTCATTAAAATATCAAAAATGCAATGGGATATTTCCTAGAATCATACCAAAATTTGACACATGCCAAATTTTTACATAAATAAAGCCAGTCTGATTAGAAACACGCTCCAGTCTGCTTGATATTTCGAAATATTTAACAAATTGTTAGGAAATTACTTATGTCAAAATTAAAATTGCTAATACATTAATGTTAGTAGTAAAAAAAATTCTATATATACCTCGGTTGAGAAAGCTATTATTTACCTCGCACATTATATCCCTCGGCGCTACGCGCCTCAGGATATAAAAGTGCTCGGTAAATAATAGCTCACTTCTCACCCTAGGTATATAATGTACTATTATTTTACACCAGCCGAAGTCTAGTGGCAAATAATGCATTGTTTTAAGTCTACTTCCTTTTTATATGCAGTTAAAAAGGGCTGTTAGATCTTGTTTCGCTTGGTTTCAAAATTGTTGTTTCCTGTACAGTCGTGTTGCCACGGGCCGAAAAACGTTCCACCCGGTATCTTCCTGTTGTTTCCTCGTAAAAATGTCCTTTCGCGTAATCAGTATTTGTCCAAAATTCATTATGAATTAGCGTTGATTATTCTTCACTGAAATTGTCCAAACATTTCAAATTTAAAGCGACAGTTTACACAGTTTCTTCTGAAAGCCCTAGCCCTAACGGCCTGGCCTCGGCAACTTTTGTATTCTTTTCCACTTTGTCGTAACATTTTTCTTATATTTTTCTTTCAATCTTTCTGGTTAGCTTTTCGTTTTCTAGTGGATTTTGATCTAAAAAATAAAAACGCAATCAAAATTAATCAATACATTAATTTAGGTAGGTAATAATAGTTTTAAAATACCTTTGAACATCATCGTCGTCTGGCATCCGTCTAATTCGACCGATGTCTGTTTTGCTTGGACTATCTAGATTCCTAGCACTTCATGTTCCAGGAATTTCGTTTTGCCTCTCATAAAAGTGATATTTTTTGTGACCTGAACCTTTGCTACGTATTAAAGTATCGGAATCACAAGAATTCTCATTGGTATCGACAGTAGAACCTTCATTTGCATCGATACTGAAAAAATTACAAAAATTCATTCTAACCTATAATATTTTAGAAATTAATAACTTATATTTTTCGTTTATTATTCATTGTAATTGGTTCATACTTCGACCCTGAGTCCTGGTAAGGTTCCAAAAGGTATTCTTCCGAATCGCTCATTATTTTTAACTTATTTTCATGACTTAAATACTGTAAACGCAGACACTACACATGAACGTTGTTAAAAATGTTCTGACTAAAATATTTATGCCAAATTATTCCATGTCCTAACATAATGCACATGGCTAAATCCTATTGGCTAGTAAGGACATAGACTAATATGGTTCAAACATTAAAAACTTTGAATGGACATAGTATAAGTTAGGCTCTCTGTAAGTATTGAACCGATTGGCGCAGAGTAACATGGAATATTTTGGTCGCTAGAGCTTCGGACATAGAATACTTTGATACTAAAATATCAATTTAAAAAGAAATGGACATAGAATAACCTGGTTCTCAGGCGATGATATATCGAGGGCAAAGTGACTAGAAAATTATATTTTTATAATTAGCTGCAAATGTTGTTTTCGAAGAAGCTTTTTTGTGAGGAATCTCCAAATTTAAAATAAATAAAGAAGTTCAAATATTAGAAGTTTATTTTTGAAGCTGGAAAATATTTTTTTTAACAGTGTTATATATTTATAATGAATTCAAATAAAAATAAGTTTTGTTGTTCTCTTTATATTTATTTATCAATTGCCTATTATATTACCTTAATGGAGTCTTTTAAAAAGATTTATTTATGGCAAGACACTGACAGTTTACTGTATAGGTATGGTCCTGGCATTTACTTGTAGTACTTGTAGTTTGTACAGATTTCGCAAAAAAATAATTAAATGATTTGCATATTTAAAAGGAATTGTATTTTAAATACATCTATTATCTGAACATAATATATAATACATAAATAAGTATATAAAAGTACGTTAATAATATAGATTTATTTTCTTACAGTGTGTAAAAAATTGTCTGCACAAAGGACCGCCCAAACCTGGACATTGCCCCACAAAGGACACTCAAGTTTCCCTGTTTGCACTAGTTTGCATGAACACCTGTGAAACAGATTCTCAGTGCGAAGGAATCACAAAGTGTTGCCATCACAGCTGTGGAGTAACTTGTCAAACACCTATTAATTTGAATAATTTTGAAGGTTAGTAAAAAAAAAATTAAAATTTGTTATTTATAATGGGTACCTTATAAATAATTAGACTTGACAACACCGTCTCTATATTACCAATATAATACCAAAATTCTCTAGAAATTCAATTTTACAGTTGTCGATAGAATCGGCCAGATTATTGGTGTTTTATGGATACACATATTCATTATGATATTTTACTTGGAACACTGTATTCGATTTAATTTAATTACTAGCGTAATCTATGAATAAAATATTAAATTTTTAGTATATTTTTTAAAATAATTTAAAACTGAGAGCGGCGGCCAAGCCTTAAATGCTTCTAATTTTTTGGTAATAGTCTAAATTGTTGAGATTTGTAGTTAGCAAACTAATAATACAATAATAATTATAAAAAAAAAAATCAAGATATGCGGTTTTCTTTTTATGTTATATTATTGATATATTATCAAAATTAACCGTTAATGTTAATCTAATTAAAATAAATAAAATGAAAAAGATTTTATTTACAGTAAAAGTAGAGGTAAAATAATTAATATAAGCATAAGTTTCCATTCCATACAAAAGGTCAGTCAGAGATTGAGAAGGTGGATATCAGGACCAACTTTGTTTCATAATCATCTAGTCATCGGTCAATAGTGTCGTTGTTTTAATAATCCTGTAAAAATAATATTTTCGATGTAAAAAATTTCCTCCTATATTATACACAATTTTCGAAAATGGGATAATATGTACACACTTTCAATGTATCGTTAATATGTTAAATTATGTTATGCTTTGCCAGTTTTCAACTCAGACCTATCATAAAGTTTTAAGGTTTCTCATAATAATTCCTACCATTTTATTACTTGAGAAGTATGGGAATCCGATTTTTTTATTTAGCAGACCAGTTATTCTAATATGGATGGATTCAAAGCACCGATGAGCGTTAAGAAGTATTTTATAGTTATGGTCCTTTTATGAATTCGAGAGAAATAACTAGGAGCGGAGGTATTTTACGGCATTTTCATTATTTCCTATCGTTCGGCAGAAAATGTTTAACCCAATACAATTTAAGAACAAAACTGTGTTGTAATAGAATTTACAAATTCAGTGTGTTTTTTAAAATTAATTGTAGGTAAATTGGTAGAATTAAAAATATTTATAATCTTCAGAATTGCGTATAAAATCAATAAATAATGTAATACATACGAGCATATCAAATATAATCACAAAAAAAAGGAAAAATAATTGTAATTAAAAAAAAAAAAACGTTTTAGACCAGTGAGCAGATGAAAAAGAATTTAGATTTTGGCGGGTTTCGGTCTTGTTTGTTAACCTGACAAGTGGCGCATAGGTTGATGGTCTCCTCTATGTCCCTTTTAATAGTTGGCCAATAGTAATGTCTTCGTACTTTTGTTTCTATTTTATTTGTTCTTCTGTGGTTAGTTTTGCCTTCATGATATCTCGAAAGTATTTGTTTTTGCCTCTCATTTGAGTCGATATCTTGGATGTTACACTTGACAAGGTAGTATGAAGAATTTTTGAAAGTTTTTCTTATTGTGTTGCATAGGACATGATATAGGTCTTCTTCTTAGAAAAATAAGGCATATTTTTTGTTAGGATCTAGGAAATCTTTGAAAATATCATCTTTGAGGTTATCTTTTCCAAATTGAGTATAAATAATTATTTTGTGACAGATGAAGCTGGGTTATGATTAACTACTTGGAGGACTATTTGGTTATTGTAGAAATCTATGCTCGCTCGCTTATGGGTATTTCAAGTATATGGTCTTCTATAGCAAAGTGTCTTTTTATGTAGCTATTTTCATCCTGTTGTTCCTGGAATAGTTAGTTGTTTACGATATCTAATTCTCCTAGTGGACCATTGATAATATCTTCTAGTGGGCCATACGTCGATTCAGAGTGATTATAAAAGGATAGTTCATCGAAATCTTTTGATGTGGCTTCTTAAAGACTTTCTTCGGAGTTATGTCTCCTTGTGTGTATCTTTATTTCGGATAAAGTACCTACATTTATATAGAATCTTTCATTTTTATAAATTACTACGTAATTAAATTCTTCCAATTTTAGGCGCCATCTTAAGAGCTTAGCATTTTGATTTTTAAGGAGAAAAGCCATTGGAGAGGGCGGTGATCTCATAGGAACTTGAATTTTCTTCCAGACAGGTATGGGCGGAAGTATTTCGTAGCCCATACGATAGCCAACATTTCAATTTCCTACAATCGACGACGATACGCCATTTGATCTATCCTGAGACATCGGGTTTTTTTGGAACAACCCAGATTGGCGAATTTTGACAGTTTTTTGGAAAGAACAATTTTTTCTGATTTTTTTTTACGTTCTCCATCTTTATTTATTAATACAGACCATTATAAAACTGAAATAAAATACAGAGAATTCTATTTAAAAAATATACATTTTTATTTGCCAAAAACCTGACACCCTGTATATACAAAAAGATTTTTAAAATATGTCTTGTTCAAATTCATATATAACTTTTATTTAAAACTTCTGCGTGTCTATAACACTAATTACGCACTAATGGGAAACCCTGTATTATATAAATTTTCAAACAATTCTTGATACTCTACATATATTTCATCTTATTTTTATACCATTTCCGTAATGGGGCTCCGATTCGATCTGCTAATATAGCTGCTATAGTGTGGATAAGTAATTACTATATTCGTAAGGAGAGGGCAATTTTAAACAGTAGATGGGAAGTTCCTTCCTCATTTGCATATTTCGCATCGATTTACAGTACTTATTTTGATTAATATGGACGTAATGATCAAAAAAATGACAACGTCCCTGAATCCGTATATCTGATTGATTCTTAACAAGCTAATGAAACTGGTTTAGATATCGAAATTATGGCCCAGTTTTTCAGTCGTGCTTCTCTCTGCTGAATGCTAATAGGACCACCAACATTCGACAAAAATTATTTATTAACATCTTAATGTTCTCAATAAGAAATGGCATCGACGTTTTTAAGTGGGTGCGTTTCAGTTGTGGCGGGGTTTCCACTTATAAATTTAAAATAAAGACACTGGGGGCAATTTTATTACATTCTCAGGGAATACAGGGTGTTCTATAGCAACAAAAACAAATTAATTAATGTTTAGTATTATTTTCCTAAAATCAATGAAAGCGTCATATTAGTCAAGACCTACTTAAATGATTTAAAGTTATTATTTTCTTATATCGTGGGTTATTTTGGAATACACCATATCGTCGCTGTTAAAATAAAAACTGTATTTCTTATTAGATAAAAAATAATAATTGCTAAAAATCCCGCAAATTTTCAAATTAAATATATTACGGGTAGCTACATTACCGACAGAGTAATAGCGTAGTTAATATTACAGGTAACTACATTACCGACAGTAAGATTAGTTCAAGCATCCGCACCTACAGGTCGCTGCAAGCAAACTTGTTGCCAAATTACTACAAAGATACGGCAACTCTTAACTATCCTTCCTCCATGGTTGCAACTTCAGCTGGCTTTTTTTCTCGTAAATCGGAGTCTACTTGGTCCGAATATAAATATACGTATAAGAAGTTTTAGAAAGGGGAGGGATTTTGTATAAGACAAAATTCTTTAATTCATTCTAGGCAATTCTGCTTTTTGGTTATGGTTTGGTGTTTAATTTAATATCGATTTTTCAAAAGTTATTTGTCTATCTGTTTTTTTTTCCAGTTATTACATTTTCCTAAGCAAAAATAAATAATCGGATAATTGTACCGAATGGTGTATAATACTAGTAGTCTAACTTTTAATATTTTTATATTTAAACCATAAACAAGACATACAGATAGACATAGTTTTTAAAAATGAAAGGTGAAACATTTGCATTTAACTAATAATTAAACTATATTATATAACTGTGAATAAATTTGATAAAAGTGTATTTGTTCACACCGATCATATTACATTTATAGAATTGTTCTACAAATAACTGGTTTTACAAATCTTTATAATTGGAACTTGTGTTCAAACGATATGCATTAAAGAGGCTTAAAAATATTTTATCTCGAAAGTAAAACTGTTAAAGATTTAATTTTTTTCTTGTGGTCATATTTTCTGGAAATTAATGTTTTATAGAAAAATAATTATGGCATTATAGGGTGATGAATGGCATTGTAATCTGCATTTTTTAGAGGACATGTCAAATTTATGTGACTTCAGCGTTTAACGTACCGCCGCCATATTTAATTTTTTTAAACGACAGCGTAGGTCAAGTGATACATCAGAGGAAAGCTTATTTTTTCACTTTTCAAGGATACTAAAAAGTACCACATTACTAATGTTCCAAAAGAGATCAGAAATTTTATCTCAGAAAATTAGAAGAAAGTGGGAACAATCTAGAGCACCAGATGATAAAACAACTTTAAACAACGCAATACAACGGCTAAAACGTAAAGTACGGCGCATTAAAACTAAGTCGATTGGCAAATACTTAACGTTTCTTCTTGTTTCTCTCCATATTTCACTCTAAAAATAAAATAAAGATAAAATAACAGTAACACATAAACAAACTTTAAGCCAAATTTACCAAAAAGTTGCTGGTGTGAGAAAAATTGGGTCCTTCTTGTATAAATAACTTGAGAGTTTGAGTAGAAAACGAAGGGTTTTTATTGATCACACATGAGGTACAAAGAATGTTAGTTTTATAGATAGAATATAGAACTTCTTAATTAACACGTACACAATTAATTTGATCGTTGCCAATTTGAATTTATAAAGAGATTTAATATTAACGTGTGTAGTGTGTCTCGACTGCCTCGTTCCGAAAGCTTGCATCACTCTTAGAACGGTAACTCCCATGTTAGAAAACGGTGATAGAATTTTAGCGCCACCTGGTGGACGTGGTTAATTATTTTTCAATTAAGTCCTTATCGGGTAAGAAGCCATATTAAAAAAGAAGAAGAGGAGAAAAGCGCGGGGCCATTCAAATTTGACAGTAAAAATTACTCGCATTAAACACTGTTAGCCAAATTAAGATTTGTTCACACAAACTACATTTTTGCGTTTTTATAGCGATATTCGCTATAATAAAGCAAAAATTGAGTTGCATGAACCAATCTTAACTCGACTAACAGTTTTTAGATAAAAAGACGAACATAATCAAAAAATTTATTTATTATATATATATATATATATATATATATATATATATATATATATATATATATATATATATATATATATATATATATATACATACAAATCCAATATTATAAAATGTATTATTTATGAAGTATTTGGCTGCTACTTAATCCAGAATACAGCATTGTGCCCCCAATATTATGAAGAATATAGAAAACACAGTATAAGTATAAAAATCTGATGTGTCCAACACATGACTTTCCTATCTAGTTATTACAGGTTTTTACCGGTTATTTTGTACAACCTATTGCAGCACCTCCATAAATGTTTAGAGGATAAACTAAATATATATACATTTTCCACATACATCTACCTCGAAACATTTTTCTATAGATATTTATTGAAAACAAAAATACTGAAAAATTTAAATTTAGCACTTTTCCTACAATTTTTCCATTACGGTCCATTTTAGAAAAATCATGTATAAACAAAAATTATAGAGATCAATATCGCAAACAACTTTTAGTTCAACAATTTTCATAAAAATCAGAATTTTGCACATTTTGTCAAATTTCTCGAATACGGGCCATTTCAGGAAATTTTGAGATAAAGCAAAAATTATAGATAATAATATTAGAAGTAACTTTTATATAAACAATTTTCCAAACATAAATAACAGATATATTCCATAAAATATAAAAACGGCCTCCCATAAAGTACCCCCCCCCAGATGTTTCGACTTTGTCCAAAATCAAATCATTTTACGTCAGGCCGAAATAAACCTTAAGTTTAAAATTTAATGTTTTTTCTTTATTCGTTTTTCAAAATTCAAAATTTACACATTTTCTCAAATATCTCGAATACGGTGCATTTCAGAGACATTAAGTATAGAATAAAAATTATAGAGAATTATATTACAAACAACTTTTATTTGAACAATTTTTATAAAAAATTATTTTTTGTACATTTTGTCAAATTTCTCGAATACGGACCATTTTAGGAAAATTTTGTATAGAACAAAAATTATAGATAATAATATTAGAAGTAACTTTTAGTTGAAAAGTTTTCTTCTCCAAACGTAAATAACAGATATATTCCATAAAATATAAAAATGACTATCTATAAAGTACCCCTCCAGATGTTCCGACTCTGCCCAAAATCTAATCAGTTCATTAGACGCTGGAATAAAGCTTAAGTTTGAAATTTGGTGTTTTTCTGTGTTTCGGTTCATGAGTTATGCGACACACACACACACACACACACACACACACACACACACACACACACACACACACACACACACACACACACACACACACACACACACACGCACGCACGCACGCACGCACGCACTCACGCACGCACGCACGCACCCACGCACCCACGCACCCACGCACACACGCACCCACACACACACACACACACTTACGCACGCACGCACGCACGCACACACACACACACACACTTACGCACGCACACACGCACGCACGCATGCACCCACGCACGCACGCATGCACGCACCCACGCACACTTACGCACGCACGCACGCACCCACGCACGCACGCACGAAGGCACGCACGCACGCACGCTCGCACGCACGCACGCACGCACACACAAACACACACACACACACACACACACTTACGCACGCACGCACGCATGCACGCACGCACGCACGCACACACACACACACACACACACTTACGCACGCACGCACCTACGCACCCACGCACCCACGCACGCACGCACGCACGCACGCACGCACGCACACACACACACACACAGTATCTTTGTGGTGGAACTAGCCCTATGTTTCTTTTCTCTATTGTTCTCTTTTCTGTGCGATAATTAACAAAATCTATCTTTTAGGCTTACCAATTACGCCCAGAGAACCCAGAGTGATCGAAGGCCGTCGAAAACGAACCGTTCACATAGAATGGTCCTCACCAGACGAAAACCCTGCTGGCTTCGAAGAAGAAAAACTCCTCTATCTTATCGAAGAACGACATCACCCTGGCAAATATTTCAACTCAAATCGGTTGTCAGAATGGAGTCCTTGCTCTAAATCATTTAAAACCAATCGCTTGCTGAAACATTTGGTAAAACCTGGAAGGTGGTATCAATTTAGGGTGGCAGCTGTTAACGAAAATGGTACCAGAGGATATTCAGAGAACTCGTTGCCGTTCAGGATATCATCAAGTAAGGTCCACTTAATTAATTTTCTAATAATGCTAATATTTAAATTTATTGCAATAATTGTGGCCAATAAATAGTTGAATTGTTTTTGATATTAATATATTTTGATACAGACTTAATTTGATACATTGAGGTTTATTAATTATTTCAGCTCCAAAACCACCAAAAGCTCCACAAAATGTGACGGTGGGGCCTCTAATAAAAAGTAATGGTAGTTTAAGTGCTGTTTTAAGATGGTCGCCTCCAGAGTCTGATCTGCCAATACAAAGATACAAGGTATTTTGGAGTAAGAGGCTACATGGAGCAAAAGCCTTGGATTCAGTTCTTGTACATCAACAAGTCTTACCCAAGGTAAATATATCTAACTATTTATGCATTATATAATATATAGGATATACCTGTTTTTTGCCGTAGCCGAGCGGTATCCAAATTGAATGGAATACTAATATTTTTAAGAAATAAAAATGTACATCTACAATTTATAAAGGGTGTTTCAAAATTCTCACCCCCACAGAAAACAAGCTTATTTTTTAGTTTAAATTAAAAAGAATTAATGTCATATTTTGGACCTTTTCTTTAAAAAATATTTTTTATTAAAAACGTTAATTAGTTTCGCTAATGAAATAAAACAAGATATAGTAAAATTAGATTATTTTTTAATTATAGATAGTAAAATTAATAAAATAAATAATTATGTGCATTATAAACTATCTGAAAAAGAATTTTGAATGTCTAGAATACATTGACAAGATACACCAACTGGTATTGTTTCCGCTGTCCAAAAAGGTCTTAAATCCTTTGGTAACGATGGCGAAGGTATTATTTCATCATTGTCCTTAAGATCCTTTTTTCTTAAAACTTTTACATTATACTTTTTTTCTACACACTGATAGTATTTTTCACAAGAATTTGGTTGGCATATACCAGTGTGAAGATACCTAAAAAGAAAATAAATAAACATTTATAGACATAATTTGAAAATTCGGAAAAGTCTACCCCAAAATATTAATAAAAATTTATATAAATATAAATAATAATTATTATTATCAGTGGTAATAACAACAAAATAATTACACAAATAGTTATAAAGATTGGTCCACAAAGAATGTTACTAAAGTAGTCCATGGTCGACAAAAACAGACATACGAGTCATGTCTCTGAAAACTGCGTACGGTTCTAAATTAAATAAAAACTGACACTTAAAAAGAAGAATTAAAGGCTCCGACATATGTGAATTTTCTTAAGGCCTACTTTAAATTACTTCTTATGACAGTTATAGCGACGTTGCTGCTATTTTTCTTTAAACTTACATAAATATTCTAATATACTATTTTTTATAAATGATTATGCAAATTACAGAGTGGACCACTCAAAAAAGTTCACCCTATTATTTGGCGGTATTCATTGGATTTTAAGAAAATGCTGAACCAAGTCGTTTTTTATTCGAAAAGAGACATTACAATACAGACACCTGTCATATTTTTTTGGTTGTTCATTAAGAACTATCCTACAAAATTTTGACTTAGGGAGCGTTCAAGTATTACGTAACGCAATTTTTGGAGATTTTTAACCTCCCCTCCCCCCGATATAACGCTCCGTAACGCTTTTCTGTACCCCTCCCCCCCTAATAAAACGTTACGTAACCACAAAGTGACTATTTTTACCTAAAAATCACAATTATGTCACTCCATTTGATATTTAAAAAAAAAAAAAACGTTTTAAAAAATGCGTGAGAGAATCTCTCTACGCGACTTTTCCTAAGGGTTAAAAAATAATAATGTTACGTAACGCGTAGTTCAAACCCCCCTTCCGCCCCTGTAACGCATCGTAACGTTTTACAAAACCCCCCCTCCCCCCAAATTCGTTACGTAATACTTGAACGCTCCCTTATCGGTGGACAATTCACCTAAAGTTTTCGAAAAATCCTTTAAATGATTTTCCCATGGACCCCACATAATAATAAAAAATAAAATTTCTAAAATACACTTACCAGAGTTTATAATAGGTAAATATAAAAAAAGTACTGGTAAAACTTTTGAAAAAATCAAACATAAACACATCAAAATATAATAAATTATCCAAATAATATTACAAATTCAATAAAACTCAAATAACTAATTAAAACTACATATTTTATATTATTTTGTAGGTCCAGTATCAAGTAAAATCGCAAAAACACGCCAGTGATACTTTTCGTAATCAATCATTTAATTTTTTTCTCTAAACACGTTCTTGATTAAGGTTGGGAATAAGGGTTGTCCGGGTGCTAGTTTTGATAACGCAGTAAACTCTGCAACCCTGAAGCATCCTACATAAAACGACTGAAGGGTACCTGAAATACACCCAAAGTAAACGCAGTGTAGATAAAATAATTCCAGGCGGTCACCGCTAACGGTGTAGTCACTAATAATAAAGTAAATCGAACACTACACTACCTTACACCTTGAACCCTACGGTACCCCGAAATAAAACGGTAATAAAAGAAAAGAAACATGAAATATTAACAAAATTATATAATAAAAATAAAATTATCCAGAAATAAAATAAACGGTGCTATAACAGAAAGATGAATTTTGAATTAACTAATTGTTTAACTTAATAGTTAAACAATTACTACCGGTACTCCCTACCAAGGAGGTGAGAGAACTGGTTAGTCATTGTGGAAAAAACAAAATCGAACTTCTTCTTGGATGTGATGCCAATGCTCACCATATAGTATGGGGGAGCACTGACATTAATAACCGAGAAGAAGCTCTTCTGGAATTTATTGCTTCCAATAAACTAGAAGTTGCAAACGTTGGACATGAACCCACCTTCGTAACATCTGTGCGAAGGGAGGTAATTGATATAACCCTAGGTACACAACGGGCATGTTCATTGGTCACTTTCCGACCATAGACATGTCCTGTTTGAGCTGCGTACTAAAACCTCGGGTGAGAAGACATATCGTAATCCTAGGACCTGTAACTGGGGAGCTTTCAAGGGAGAACTCAAACAGGGACTGGAGGACTGTCCTCCGATACCGAAGAATTCAGTGGAAGTTGAGTTTATGTCAGAGTTTCTGACACGAACCCTAACCAACACGTTTGAATAAAAAACTGTCCTTTAAAAATTAGGAAAGAGGATCGAGACGCTGGCTGTATGGTGGAATCGAGATCGAGACGCTGTATGGTGGAATCGAAACCTTTCCAAAAAAGAGCAGAAGTTCGTAAATTTTTCAACCTGTCTAAAAGGTCGGGAAACTGGGAAGCCTATAAGGCGTACCGGAGAGAATATGGCTATGCCATTAGGAAAGCCAAGGAAAATTCCTGGAAGAAATTCTGTCACGGCATTGAAAGCCTTCCAGAATGTGCCAGACTCAGGAAAACTCTACAGAGAGATAAGCAAGGATGCATGGGATCTCTGAAAAATCAACAAGGAGAACTCACAAAAACAGAGGAGGAGACCTTAGATTTACTACTAGAGTCGCGCTTTCCTGGATGTGAGATTATTCTTGACCAAGAGAACAGGAGTACTGAGGTACTAATTTCCAGGGCCACAAAAACAAACTGGTTTCTTGCAAACTCAATAGTAAACAGAACAAAACTTGTGTGGGCGATTTCCTTTCAACCATACAAAACAGCTGGACCTGATGGTATAATCCCGGCACTTCTCCAAAAGGGCCAGGAAGTACTTTAAATATTTACACTTGCTTGAAAAGTGAAATGCGTGGGGCCTCACAAAACGAAATTTTAAAAAATTTGATGTGTCCAACACATGACTTTCCTATCTAGTTATTATAGGCTTTTTCCGGTTATTTTGTACAAACTATTGCAGCACTTCTATAAATGTTTAGAGGATAAAATAAATATATACATTTTCCACATACATCTACCTCGAAACATTTTTCTATAGATGTTCATTGATAATGAAAATACTGAAAAATTTAAATTTAGCACTTTTCCTACAATTTTTCCATTACGGTCCATTTTAGAAAAATCATGTATAAACAAAAATTATAGAGATCGATATCATCGCAAACAAATTTTATTTTAACAATTTTCATAAAAATCAGAATTTTGCACATTTTGTAAAATTTCTCGAATACAGACCATTTCAGGAAATTTTTACATATAACAAAAATTATAGATAATAATATTAGACGTAACTTTTATTTGAACAATTTTTTTCTCCAAACATAAATAACAGATATATTCCATAAAATATAAAAACGGCCTCCCTTAAATTACCCTCCCAGATGTTCCGACTTTGTCCAAAATCTAATAATTTCACGTCACGCCGAAACAAAACTTAAGTTTAAAATTTAATGTTTTTTTCTTTATCCGTTTTTGAGTTTTCTTCAAATTTCGAAATTTACACATTTTCTCAAATATCTCGAATACGGTCCATTTTAGAGAAATTATGTATAGGATAAAAATTATAGAGAATTATATTACAAACAACTTTTGTTGTTGAACAATTTTTATAAAAAATATTTTTTTACATTTTGTCAAATTTCTCGAATACGGACCATTTTAGGAAAATTTTGTACAAAACAAAAATTATAGACAATAATATAAGAAGTAACTTTTATTTGAAGAATTTTCTTCATAAGTTATGCGACACACAGACTACATCGCGAAAATACTCAAAACGGATTCAGGGGACCTCAAAACGTAAAAATCCATCGAAAACTCGAGGTCGAAAAAAATCATGATTCCTATACTTTCCTTATATCTGTATACAGATAGGAAAGTAATTATATCACGTCGCCCATGCTATATAAAGAAGCCGCCGACGGTCGGTAGATATTTAGTTTTAATGCCGTTCGAATTGACTTCGTATGAAGACTGTATAATGAATTTTTTTTGCTGTCATGGAAAAAATTTAACCTATTAGCCAAACATAGGCATCGCGTTTAATTGTATAGGGGTAATATACACTTTTTTGTGCGTCATCGGCTTCAATTACTAAAGTTATTTCGCCTCGTGTTCTGTGTAGGCTTTGTTACTGTTTGCCAGCGCCACTTTAGGAACAGCACTGTTAATTAGAACCCAACAGTGAATGGTCAAGTGGGGAATTCTACCAAAGCATCAGAATTAATTTTAAATAATTAAATTAAATAAAAAAATCCCGGCCAACGGTGGGATTCGAACCTGGGATCCTTGGATCCGCAGGCAGAGACTACTACTGAGCCACCCACTCAATTTAATTAAATTAAATCTTTTAAAAATTGTCATAGATGATCATTTGCCTGAATATTCCATCGCAATAAATATATATTTAAAATTAAGGGTTTGGAAAAGAGGAAGGAAGAGAATTCACAGATGTCTGTTTTGCAAGAATGTGTCCATTTAGGAAGAAAAATCGAA